CTTAATTCTAAGAAGAATCAAACCATAAGAGATATGCAAAATCAAATTGATCTTCTTAAAACTGAACTATCCTTAAAAAATAACATTATTGACACTACTCAGGAAAATCTAAGAGTTACTAGTTTATCAAATTCCTCACTATCTGCTGAAATTGATAAAGTTAAAGACCTCTTGAACAAAGAACAAACTGTTTTAAAACTTTGGGCTAAATCTCACAAAAATGCTAATTATGTTATTTCTGCTCAAATACCTCACTCATGTGAGAAAATCCTTGGGGGAAATTTTATTGAAGCAGAAAAGGTTTTTAAATCTCAAGAAAAGGAATCTGAATTTTATTCCATAAATGAATTAAAAGATAGTTTCAAAAACACATTTATCAGCAACACCTTTATTAATCAGAGTCTCATTGATGAACACTGTGTTACTGACTCTAATGGTGTTACTGAGTGTAATATTGAAATTACTGGAATTGGTCCTACTTCTTATCCTGCACATCTTGTGAGACCAACTCCTCTCACTGAACATATTATCGCATTTCCTATCTCAAACGGAGTGTTTCATGCTGTTCATGAACAACTTAAACAATATCCTGATTGCAGTGTTTCAGTACATAAGTCTAAATCTGATACTGATGTCAGCTCCTCATCCATCACTGATTGTAGTTCTTCTGACACTGAATTCTTTAGTAATTCAATGTTAAATAAAAGGACTCAAAGTTCACTTGGTGAATCTTTCAAATATAAATGTGTTAAATCTAAAAATGTGTTTACCAAGAAAAACTTTGGTACTAGAATTTGCTACAGGTGTGGTGATTCGACTCACAAAATCAGTGAATGCAAGTTTGATAAAACATCATTAAGAGCTGATAACATCAAAGTTAGAAATGAAAAATGGACTCTTAAATCAAATTCTTTAAACTGTCTTCCTAAAGAGTGCTATAATATATTGTCAAATAACTTTGTGAATGACCCATCTTCCAATGGGTCAGTGTGTTCTAACTAGTTTCTCAGCACTGCAGGGTCAGGAGCATCTTTGGTACTTAGATAGTGGTTGCTCAAGACATATGACAGGATCCAAGTCTCTCCTGGAAGACTATGTCAAGAAAACTGGTCCTGCAGTAACATACGGAGACAATGGAAAGGGGTTCACTAAAGGATATGGAAATATCAAGTGCAATAACGTGGTGTTTCAGAACGTTTCATATGTAAAGGGTCTCAAACACAATCTTATCTCAATCAGCCAATTGTGTGATGATGATTATGAAGTTCACTTTACAAATAAGGAAGGAAGAGTTGTTAACACTGACAAGAACATCGTACTTTCAGCAAGTAGAAAAGATGATATATATGTTCTTGACATGTTCTCAAGTGACAAGGCACTGATGCAATGTTTCTTTACAAAGTCTCAAACCAATCTCAGCTGGATTTGGCACAAAAGATTCTCTCATTTGAACTTTAAGAATCTATCAAAAATATCCAATCAAGATCTAGTTAGAGGTCTCCCAAAACTCAGCTTTGTCAAAGACAAGATGTGCTCAACATGTAAACAAGGAAAACAAACCAAGTCATCATTCAAACCCAAGTCATGTTCTAGCATATCTGTTCCTCTTCATTTACTACACATGGACTTGTTTGGACCTATTCCTGTTCGTTCCCAATGAGGAAACAAGTATAATCTAGTGGTTGTGGATGAGTTTACTCGATTTACATGGGTGGTTTTGTTGAAGAAGAAAAGTCATGCTGCACAGGAAATTATCTCGCTGATTCGTAAAAATGAGACACTGACTGGTCTCAAAGTTAAGCAGCTAAGGAGTGATCATGGCACTGAGTTCCGGAATTCAACTCTTGAAGAATTTTGTGATTATAAAGGCATTGGGCAGAACTTTTCAGCTCCTCACACTCCTCAACAAAATGGAGTTGCTGAACAAAGAAATCGAACACTGATTGAGGCAGGAAGGACCTTAATGATTCATGCTGGTCTTCCCAAGTCATTTTGGGCTGAAGCTGTTAATACAGCATGTTTTACTCAGAATCAATCTCTAATTCACAAGATTCACAAGAAGACACCATATGAGATGCTGAAAGGTCGAAAGTCGGACGTATCCTTCTTTCACGTGTTTGGATGCATTTGTTATATTCTTAATCAGCGTGATCCAAGATCAAAATTTGAGCCTACGACTGACAAAGGTATTTTTGTTGGATACTCATCTATTTCAAAAGCTTTTCGTGTTTTTCATATGAACAGGCAGTGCATTGAAGAATCCATTCATGTGAAGTTTGATGAGGAATCATACACTGATGAAAAAGTAGCTCATTCTTCCTCTATTTTTCAAGATCTTCTCTCTTGCCCATATATGAAGTTTCTCACTCTGAAGAAGAAGCTACTATTCTTGATCCTATCATTCCAGATCCAAATTCCTTGAATCAAGATATTGTGATCAGCTCAACAACTCATTTGTCTGATGCTGATGAAACTCTTGAAAATGAAGACTCTCCTGCAACTGATGTTCCCTTCAGCAATAACACTTCAGCATCAAATCCAGTGGAATCAGCTTCTGGACATCGAGATCACCCCGTTGATCAAATTATTGGGAATCTTCATGATGGTGTCCGAACCAGATCTCGTGTATCTAATAATTTTTGCATGTACGTTAATTTCGTTTCAATGATTTTACCTAACAAGATACACTCAGCTCTTCAAGACGCTGACTGGATTAAGGCCATGCAAGATGAGCTGAACGAGTTCGAACGGCACAAGGTTTGGATGCTTGTTCCCAGACCATCAGGAAAGACCATCACCAGAACACGCTGAGTCTATCGCAACAAGGTTGATAAAGATGGTATTATTACTCGCAACAAAGCAAGACTTGTTGCTCAGGGGTTCACTCAAATTGAATCCATCGACTACGGGGAGACTTTTGCTCCAGTTGCCAGCATTGAAGCAATCAGACTGTTTCTCGCATACGCTTCATACATGAACTTCATTGTCTACCAAATGGATGTCAAAACGGCATTTCTTCATGTTGAGTTACAAGAAGAGGTATTTCTCAAACAGCCCCCAGGCTTTGAAGACAAAGAGCACCCTGGCTATGTGTACTGACTAGATAAAGCTGTATATGGACTGAAGGAAGCTCCCAGGGCCTGGTAAGAGACACTGACATCATATCTTCTTGAAAATGGCTACAGAAGAGGAGCAATTGACAATACTCTCTTCATCAAACAGAAAGGCTCGGAAATGATTCTTGTTCAAATCTATGTCGATGACATCATATTTGGATCTCCAAATGAGAAGCTGAGCAAAGAATTCGCTGAGATTATGTCTCAAAGATTCGAAATGAGCATGATGGGGAAGATGACTTTCTTTTTAGGTCTTGAGGTTAAGCAACAAAAATCAGGTATTTCAATTTGTCAAAGTAAATACATTGCTGACATGTTAGTTAAGTATTATCTCAGCGACTGCAAACCAACTTCTACTCCAGTGTCCAAGACTGATAAGCTACACGCTGATCCAACTGGCGCTGATGTTAATCACTCTCTTTATCGAGGAATGATTGGATCCCTTCTCTACCTCACTACAAGTCGTCCTGATATCATGTTTGGAACCATTCTCTGTGCTAGATTCCAAGCTAATCCCAAGGAGTCTCATCTCATTGCAGTCAAACGTATCTTTCGATACTTAAAGGCCACTCATAACTTGGCACTGTGGTACCCTCGTGACTCAACGCTTGAACTCTTTGGATACACTGATTCCGACTATGCAGGTTGCAACTTAGACAAGAAGAGCACGTTAGGTGGATGTCATTTCCTTGGAAATTAATCAGCTGGTCTAGCAAGAAACAAACCTCAGTAGCTATCTCCACTGCAGAAGCTGAGTATGTTATCGTTGGAAGATGTTGTGCTCAAATCTTATGAATTCAAAATCAACTTTTAAACTATGGGATTATTTTATGTGATAACACCAGTGCCATTCAGATCAAATAGAATCTGGTTCAGCACTCAAAGACAAAGCATATAGAGATCAGACATCACTTCATCAGAGACAATGTTGAGAAGGGCAAGGTTGTTTTAAAGCATGTCAAGACTTCCGATCAACTAGCTGACATTTTCACCAAGGCCCTGGATACTCAAACTAATGCTCAAATCATTGGCGAACTTGGAATGATCACTCTCGATTGAAAAATTATTTTACTAATGTTTGCTATTGTCTTATACATTAATGTTTTTTTTGTACTGATGATGATGCGCTGATGATGTTTAGCATGCTGGGTTCATTGTATGATCTCTTATCTCTCTCTCTCTTCTACAAATCTTCTAAACTAAAGTTGAATGATTCAGTGTATTAAACCATAAACTGATAACAACTTGAAACTCTTTGTCGATGGTTAGACAAAACACCAAGTTCTATCACACGCAACTATCCACTCTTACCAATCTTACACTAATTTTGTGATTCGGTGTAACAAAACACATGCTGATGAGAATCTAACAATCTTTGCCGATGGTTAGACCAAAACACTAGTGTTTATCACATGCAACAATCCTCTCTTCACCTTCTTCTCACTCAGTGTCTAATGATTCAGTAAGAAATACCACTCACTGATAAAGACTCGACACTCTGTGATGATGGTTAGATAATTAAACTAGTATCTATCACACGCACCAATCACCTTGCTAACCCTAAACACGCAAGTTGTACCTTGAATTGACGACAAACTATATTTCAGTATGTAACTTTCTGTGATAGCAATCTCAGCGCTTCCGCAGTCACTGATTGTCGTTTCCTCTTGGGTACAACGACTCTATTTACCCAACGGCTATTTTTTTGATTTGACAGTCTGTCAAGATACGCAGTTATTTTCGCTAAAGATAATAATTACTTTTTTACCGTTTCATTCCTTATTTAAACCTTTTCACCTGTTCCCCAAACCTTTTTACCTTCCTCCAATCTTCTCTCTCTCTTAAAAAAAGAAAAAAAAAACCCTAGAATCCTAAACTTCTTCAATGGCAGCATCACTGTTCACCTTCTCCTCCACTTCAAGAAGAGTCGTCCCAGCTCCAAACTCTCATCCTCTTCCCATATACATCAAAGCCACAAACATAGTTTTCAACCCTGATATTCCAGATGTTCATCGAGGTCTTGGACTTGATGATTTTGTCAATTTCTTAGTCTCCTGCCGACTCCGATACGCAATCAGTAACGTTCCATCAGAGTTCTTTCCCGAACAAGTATGTGAGTTCTACTACACTGCAATAATTAATGATGAAAACAACGTCATCTCCAGGACTATTGGCCGTGGAAGACACTCAGTCTTTAATACCGCTGACCTCCTCAGTGCTGCGCTCAGGTTACCAATCTTTGAACCCTTCTCTGAGCTTCCACCTATTGAACGATGTCGACGTCTCTTTGATCAACTGGGATATGATCACTCAAAGGCTGGCACTCAATCAACTCTCATTCTGCGACAATGTATGACTCCAGGATGGAAGTTCTTCACCGGTGCTCTGTGCAAATGTGTGGGTCACAAATCTCGCAGTGGTGATCAACTGAGCACTTATGAGCAACAAGTCGTTTGTTCCCTTCTTCTCAACAAACGACTTGATTATGGGGCTTTCTTCTTTGATCAACTTGTTCAACTTCTTCGTGCAAATGTACGCGCTGATCATGTCCCCTTTCCACACTGGATTGCTCTTGTGCTAGATAAATTTTTCACTGAAGCTTACTACTCACACTCTGGAAACCCCATCCAATGCCCACGCATGTCACTACGAATGTATTAGGATGATCCGTTGGAAACTGACATCGGTATCTCTGATTGGATGAGAGAATGGATTGCAAATCCATATACTGTTCCTTCACTAACCGCTAATACTGGTGAAGGAGCTGATGGTAACAACAAAGATCATGTTGATCAAGAAGTTGAATCACAGGATGGTGGTCATCTCTCCCCTCAACTTTCTCATCATACTCTTTCTGTCGCTGAGAGAGTTCACTCAGCTCAAGGGGAGCAACCATTTTAAGGGGAGCAGCCATCTCAGGGGGAGCAACCATCCCAGGGGGAGCACCCTTCTCCGGGGGAGCAACCATTTCAGGGGGAGCAACCATCCCAGGGGGAGCACCCTTCTCCGGGGGAGCCACCTTTCTCCCAACAAGTTCCAGGTACTCAATTCCTTTATATACCGGCCTCAGCATTCAATGAGCTACTTACACTAACTCGAGACATGAGTCAGCGTCTTTTACGAATTGAGGCCGATGTCCATCAACTAAAGAGAGTTCTTTTTCCAACTCCTTCCCCTGGCCCACAACATGATGATGATCAAAAAGGGGGAGAAACTGATGATGATGATGATGATGATCCAAAAGAGGGAGACACTGAATCTGTTGAGCTCGGATCTGAGGATAACACCTTAAACCAGATTGAGCCACCACAGCCTGTGCATGAGTCTGATAGACCAATTGTTGAGGAACCTGATAGACCAGAAGATACTGAAAAGCTTGCTGAAGATAGTGAGCATGATGATAAACATGATGATGAGTGTCAGATGTTGGACATGAACTTCATTGATCCCACTATTCCAGTTCACGGGGAAGCCTCAGATGATGATGAAGATGAACATGATGATGAATGTCAAATGCTAGATATGAAATTCATTGATCCCATTATGTCAGTCCAAGGAGAAGATTCTGATGTAGCTAGTGAGGATACTCAACCTTTATCTCGCAAGCGCAAGGCAACAGATACTGAATTGGCTTCTTCACACACTGATACTTCTCTGCCTAGCAAAAAACCTAAGTCCATGGTCAGCATATCCAACTTGACAGCTGAATGGAACATGTCTCCTGATCAAGTTAAGCAAATTCTTAAGGAAGCCAATCAAGCTCAGCTTCTAAAGAATATTGCTCAAGCTGATGAATCTCTCATTCAGCATAAACTTCAGGCCAAAGGATCTTTTGAAGCTCAGATGAAAAATTTCTTAGAATATCAGTCCAAATCCAAATCTTCTCAGCCTCCTCCCAGCAGCAGCAAGTCAAGGACTAAAAATGTTCTCGATAGGATTGATCGTAAGAGATTTCAAGATGTTCTTAAACGACGAGTGAGCAGTGATAAGATCATAAAGGTTAAAGCCTCTAAACCTCATAACAAGAAAATTCTTACTTTGCTAATCACTCGTCAAGGTCCTCAACATCCATACACTGAAGTTGTCAAGAGGGATGAGCTGATCAGATACGGATATTCTGAATGGATGGAATTGCTCGAATTGGCATCCAAGCAAACTTTGGCTCTCTATTCAGAACTGACCCGTGCTCTCCATTTACTGATCAAGAAAGTTCAGCGTCTGGATCTTGTTCCTACGCAGCGTTCTCAGCAGCAAGGTCAAAGTTCTTCAGTTCCAAGAATCAGAAGGACCAGATTTCAAGTTGATAGTGAAGATGTGTTGGTTCTAAATTTTGGTGCGGAAGGAATAAACAACTCTCTTCCTATCGGTGTTGAGCCGGTTCAACATAAGTTCATCTCTGTTCCTGAACATGGAATGTTTTATCTCGATAAAAATAGAAGAATGTGTTTTCAGCACACCACAGAAATTCAAAGAGCTCCAACAGAACATCTTGTTGGCTTAAGACAAATGTGTATGAGCCATCAAGATCTATCTGGAGAGTTTCACATACTGATTGCTATAGAGCTGCTGAATAGAAGACAGGAACTGCTGGATAGTCCTTAGTGGCCTGTAAAAATAGAAGCTGAAGCTGAGTATGAAGAATTTTTGTCTAGAGGTGTTCTAGTATAGCTGTTGTTTTGAACATCATCATATTGGGGGAGATTGTAAGGTCGAACCTTATAATATGATGATGTTTGAAACTGATCACTCAGCATTAGCATATATTTCAGCGTCAGCATCAGCGTTAGCGTATAAACTGTTCAGTATATGTAATTTTCTTTAATGTAACAGATTTAGTACTTATCTTGTTTCCATAGTTATCGTATATTAGTTAGCTGGAATATCCCTGATTTGTAGGGATTGTCTATAATAGTTCTATATAGTCTTTTGTAAGGGTTTGTGAAGAGGTTGTCTTTCACAAACCCTAATAGCCGCTTTGTGCGAACAATAATCTCTTTGTGAGATTATCATTCTTAGTGAAAGCTCTTTGTGATATTTCGTTGTTCTGTTCTTATTATTAGTCATTGTTTGATAAGTCGATTGATCTAAGGTCTTTTCAGAATGTGCTCTATTCGGAATTTCTCTAGCTAAAACTCCCCCTTAACATGTAGCATAAACTTTTAGCATCAATCCAGAAAACCTAAAAAAATCTTCAACTTTTAGCTTCGTTTACGGACCGCCTTTGACAAAATTTCTCAAAATGGGTAGAAATTGTCAATTTCAAAATTCTGCAGTGACCCAGTGTGCCTGATGTGCACAAAAGTACCCATTAATTTTAATATTTATAACCTAACAAACTTAGACTAACTATGCACTTATAGGCAGTGTACATAGTCAGATTACAGTTTAGCTTAGGTAAGTCGGGTGTCGATCACAGGGAACAGTGGATTAATTTAATATATTTAATTATAGGTTACATGTCACACAAAAAGAATAAAAGAAATAATTTAATAAATCTCAAACTAATAATTAATTAACCATTCTCGATAAACTAACAGGAAAGCAAATCTCTTCAGGTACTTTGGTTTAGACAAATTACACTTTAAAAACATAGACAATTTCATACACAAATTCATTTATTCATGTTCACCGATTCCTAAAATGATTAGATTCGCGTTCACTATAACTAATCCTTTAGCAAACAAGTCAATTCAAACAGTGATCAATTGGTTAAACTAACATGCTTCCTAGTGTTCAGTTCGTATCAAGCAAGACTTGTAAATATAGTTAATCAAATTAAACATTCAATTAACCTCTTGTTGATGGTCATCAAACAAGGCTCACACATTAACTTACTTATTCCCATGTGAATCCTAGTTTTACATTCGTTATTCCTAGACTTATAATCTCGATGGTCATCAAAATCATAAGAGAAAAGCAATCAAGCATATGTTCATATAACTCAATTCACTTAACAATTAACAGAAAATAATCATCATTAATACATAAGGATCTTTTAACAAGCTTAGCAAGATAAATTAAACACAAACAAACGATTCAATATATCAATTAGTCTAATAATCAAAGTTTCATTCAATCATAAACACAAAGTAAAAGGTTTTTACACCTAAATCAGAAACTAAATACATAATAGCAACACAATGGAATGCTAAACATGATCACGTTAACAACCCATATGATTACTGACATGTATCCACTCTCCAACCCTTACGATCTCCGCTTCCGTTAGCTTAACGGCCTTCCGGCCACCTCCTAGACCCTCAAAACGGCAACTATGAAGTTTTCTTGTTGCACAAGTTGAAGTGGAATATCATAGATTATTCAAATTGGTGGAATGATATGGGGTATTTATAGTTGATGGAGATGGAATTTATATGGAATATTAGAGTTGGATTGGAATAAGGAAACTAATGGTGGCTTAGGGATTAAGCAAATAAAAATAAGATAAGTGTAGCTTGGGGAATAAGTAACTTGGAGGGAATTTCCGTCCAGCTTTTATGCTTCATCTTCAAGGCCGATTTTGGATAAGATAAGTGTCGAATTAGCCAAAAGTCCCTCTCACATAAGTCGTAGGAAATTTCGTCTAGTTTTCAGAACAGTTTGAACCTCGTCAATTGGACTTATGAGTCATCAGATATACCCGAAACACTGAAGAGGGGTCAATCTGCCAGCAAAATCCTTTTTGCATCTTTTCAGCTCCATTCTCTTTCTTTTGCATTCCATCTCCCATTTTAACTGTAATCAAATACTTCAAAGCATATTAAGTATATTTTAGTTCTAAATAATAATAATAAATGCTAAAATATTAAGATATGTTATACATAAACATATATAAAAATACACATATCAGTGCCCAAAATAGCAAAAAATGCAAAACTCTCCCCTATTTGCGAAACTGGGTAGAAAGCATCAATTCGCATAAACTGCAGGGGCCTGAAATGCATTTTCTTCAATTTCTCAGTACAAACAGTCCAATTTCGAAATTGGGTATGAACAACCAAAATTTTGAAACTTCGGGGATAGCTTTTGAAATTTCTGTCTCTTTTCCTCCAAACCTTCGAAAATCACCCCAAGTGTCGAAGTTGGGCAAAAATTGCCAAACTTTTGAGAGTATACGTGCAACTTTCGAAACTGCTGCCACTTTGCTTCAAACTTTCAAAATGACCCAAAATTTTGAAAATGGGAAAAATGTGCCATACTTTCGAAACATTAATTGCCAATTTTGAAATTTCACCTTATGTCATCCAATCTTTTGAAAAAATTGCCTCAACTTGCGAAACTTAGTCCCAATACTCCAAACTTTCGAAATTAACTCCTTATTTAGAAATGTATTAAAAAGTGACAATCATTCAAAACTTCAATGGCTATTTTCGAAACTTTTAATATTTCTTCTCCATTTGTTAGTTTCTCAGTTCGCAACCAACAACATCAAACCTTCGATTCGTTATTTCCCCAACCCAATTCTTTGCCTTGCCCATTCGACATCCGAATCAATTTCTCAATAGCCATTTATTCGATGCCAACACAATACAACGAAACCTGCGTTATCAGCCTTCCTGATCACCAAAATCAAACATTCAAATCCTCATACCATCGAAATCAACCAACATACAATCAATTCTAAAACACTTCCAATACCAGCCCTTTGAGTTCATCGCACA